TTGCTGGAAATGCTCAGCAAGTGGCTGCAGGATCCCAGCTCCACGGTGGACTTACTCCACGATGTCTGGCTAGCTCGCTGGCTGTATGCCACCTTGGTCTGCCTCCACCTTCCACTGGAACCTCACGTGTTCAGCACTCTTCGATACATCGCCCGATCGTGCATCCATCTGAGAAATCAACTAAAGGAGGACGAAGTACAGCGGGCAGCCCCCTACAACCTACTACTAACACTCACCGTTCAGGTCTTCGCACAGAGTGATTTTAAGGATTACATATAGGTATCATATTCCTAATTTAGAAAGCCCTAATATAAGCACAAGTCTTAATATTTTGTTAACTTTAAAACCGCAGAAGCTAGACTGGTTATTGTGTTTATATCGTTTCTCAATGTTTCGAAATTATTTTTATAGTTTTCCGTTGCGTAACTTAAAAAAAAAAACAATTTACTTTTGATTAATAAACATATATATTTAATTATGTATACCAGTCCAGAGAAATTAAGGAACGTCAAAATAGATCGTAAACCATGAATGTTAGAATATATTGGTTAGGCCAACCATCTTCATTTGAATGGTACATGGATTTGCAGTTACCAATGTATTGAATGTGTATTTTTCAAATCACAATATTGATCAAAACCTACTGAAATCTATATAAAATTGCAATTGTTTCGCGAGTGGCCACATTAAAATGGTAAGTCTATAAACACCAAACGTTTTCTTTAAACAAATAAGACTCATTTGTTAAATTAATTTGCTTTTTTATTCAGTAAGAAGGAAACACGCGCCTGTAAGCCTGGCATATATCGCAGCTGTTGTGGTGATCATCCAAAGGAGTACTGCAGCTGGACAAATGGCTGCACTGCGTCAGCGAGGAGCTCTGGCTAAAGCTACTTAATTCAGTTGTGCTGGAGCAGGAGGACAATCGTCGTTCCTGCTGTTTCTGTTGAACAGGTGAGCCACCTCTCCAAGCGGCGTAACTGGCACTTGGACAGCAATTGGACTTCCTACCATGACACACTGTTTGCTGCTTTCGAGGCTGATCCAAATGGCCCAAGCAGCGGCTCTCGACGTGGCGATTGACGGGAGGCACAGAGTACTCCCTGGAACTGGAGCAACTGCACCCCTTTTTCCGATCCTGCGTGGTCAGTTGCGCAGATAGTTCCACCTTGGGCGCCAGGATTCCCGGAAAAGCAGGCGTCGCCTTCATCAGCAGCTGAACATTGGAGCTGTGGGCACAGCTCAGTCGCGGAAACGTGGGCTGCATCACATCCGAGAGACTGCCCACGAAGTAGGCCAACCTTCGGCCATTCTGCCAGACGGTTATCTCCAACTGCTCAGCTTTTAGTAGCTCGTGCATGTCCTCCAAGCAGCCCACGCTCTTAAAGTATCCCTCCATCGTGAACTGATCGTGGCACAGCATCGGAAATCGCGGCTCCATGGGTCCAGTTCGAAAGTAGTAGCCCAAGGTCTTGATGGTGGCCTCCAAATATCCGTGTGAGCACAGCCAAACGCCAGGACAAGTGAGCTGAAAGTGGAAAGAGCCTTGGAGTCAAAGTCAAAGTATTCCCATCGAGATAACCACAAACCGCATGGAGCTGCAGGTCTAACTTTACGTAGAATCTCTTGTGGGACATTTCCTGGCTTATTTCAAGTGAAAGTCAACTTGGCTGCCGGAAAGGAGACAACTGTTGGGGGATTCGGGATTGGGGGGCGAAAACGCATGGTTCTTTGTTTTGGAGCCCCTGGTTGCCGTGGCAGCGGTTGAAAGTGAATTTCAAAGTCGATTACTCGCCGATAACGCGGGAACTTGATTGATAGCAAAAAAGTTGAAAAAGGCAAGTCTTAAGGAAAGTAATGCGTAAAGAATCTATAATTAATTACAGCATTTAGTATTTAATTATATTGATCTTGGATAAAAAAGTTAAATATTACAACAAAAATTACTTCATTAGTTAATTATATTTTTTCATCGTGCCATAACTCACTTTTTCAAAACCAAAGGTATGGTAGTAACTACAGATTCTAATGCGGGATTTCAATTATTTTTCACAGTGCACAGTGATAGCAGCAACCGATAGGAAGCCTGACCCACAAGGTGCATCACTAGTCTAATCACTAGTAAACACCAATTGCCGGTAGAGATGGCTGCAGTTACGGATATACCTGTGCACCTGCCAAAGCTGTTGGCGTTGTTCAAGACGGTGGTGCCCAAGCTGGTGAACAACAAGCACAAGGGGCAGTACGGACGCATCGGAGTGATCGGTGGGTCCTTGGAGTACACCGGTGCCCCCTACTTTGCGGCCATTTCCTCGATAAGAGTGGGCGCTGACTTGGCGCATGTGTTTTGCCACTCGAATGCATCGGCCATAATCAAGTCCTACAGTCCCGATCTGATCGTGCATCCAGTACTGGATTGTGTGGACGCAGTGGAGAGAATAACGCCCTGGTTGGAGCGCCTCCATGTCATTGTGAGTACCACCATATGTATATGTATTATGTGAGCATTTCAATGCTAAATTTAGAATCGCCAAGGTTATCGGACCTGGATTGGGTCGGGAACCGAGCATCCTGAAAACTGCAGCCAACATACTCAAGCTGTGCATGGACACCGAGAAACCAGTTGTCATAGACGCCGATGGACTGTTTCTGCTCAATGATAACTTGAACCTGATCTGTGGACAGCGAAATGTTCTACTCACGCCAAATGTCATGGAGTTCCGGAGACTTTTTGGGGAGGATGCCCAGGCGGTGCGCCAGAAAATGTCCCTCCTGGGAGCTGGAGTTACTGTCCTGGAGAAGGGCGCCAATGACAAGGTCTATGTGCCCCACTGTAACGAAGTCCACTCAATGCCCACCGGCGGTTCCGGTCGCAGGTGCGGTGGTCAAGGTGACCTGCTCTCCGGCTCCTTGGCCACCTTCTTCTCGTGGTCGCTGCAGGCGGATGAACCTAATCCCGCCCTAGTAGCTGCATGTGCCTCTAGTTACTTTGTGAAGAAGTTAAACGCGGCTGCTTTTCAAAAGTTTGGACGCAGCCTGCTGGCCAGTGACATGGTCAATGAAATACCCAGCGTATTTAAGGCCGAGTTCGAAAACAGCGATCCTCAATAGGCTTTTCGCATGTGACTCAAACTCAGACTTTGAACTTAGTCAAGCTGTTCGTAATTTAAAAAGGGCGACCATTAACCGAATATTTAATTATCACGGGATTTTTACTCTCTTTAGCAGAGAATATGTTGGCATGGTTAGAAATTTTATGGGAGTTATTAAAAACCAGATTTGGAATTTGCATTTGCATTTGGAACAACGTAAGAACGTCTGTTTCTTTAATTTGGAGAGCAGAAACTTTTTATAGAAGCAATATTTCCAAGAAAATGTTTCGTTATTCGTTGTAAAACAAAATTGATTCGATTTCATAAAACCCTTTAACGATTTAATCTAATAAACTGAACAAATTTTCATATTTATCAGTGAGTAAATAAAACTAATTGGGATTTGACTTTTTTTTTATGGTAAAAAAAAGCTAAAACGTCAGAACTGTTTGGTGGCTGGTGTTTTCGAGCACTGGTCCTATCGCGAGCGGCATTTACACGTCAGGTTTATTATTGTTTTCGATTTATCAAGCATTGAAAATGCTCCTCAAAGGGCTTCCTGGTTTTGTGGCACTCTGGCTCCTCCTGCACTTAGCCGGAGCGGATTCCCCCGAGGAAGAGCAGGGCGTGCGCTACGCCAACCGCTGCGAGGCCTGCAAAATCCTGGCCACGGAACTGGAGGCGCGACTTGGGGAGACCGGCAAGTCGCACGACGTCATCGAAATTGGATACTCCGTGGACGATGTGAAGCCCAAGAAGCGCACCGAGTACCGCCGGAGCGAACTGCGTCTCCTCGAGTCCCTGGAGAACGTGTGCGAGCGAGTCCTGGAGTACAATCTGCACAAGGAACGCTCTGACAGCACGAGATTCGCCAAGGGAATGTCCCAGACCTTCCAGACCCTCCACGGTCTTGTGGACAAGGGCGTCAAGGTGGATCTGGGAATACCCTACGAGCTGTGGGACAAGCCTCCAGTGGAGGTCACCCAAATGAAGACGCAGTGCGAAAACCTACTGGAGGAGTACGAGGAAACCATCAGCGACTGGTACTTCAAGCACCAGGACGAGAAGTCCCTGAAGAAGCATCTCTGCGAGGACCACGTCCTCAAGAAAAAGGCCGAAAGGGAATGCCTCAAGGAGCAACTCGCGCTCCCGGCAACCAAAAAGGCCAAAAAGGAAAAGGCCAAGGGCGACAGGGAGGAGCTGTGAGCCAAAGAATCCATGTATATCCTAGGAAATCCTGTCCTATTACTATTCCATGTCGTAAAAAGTAGGTGAAGTGCAGCTGTTGTTGATATATTTAAAAAGTAACACAAAATTTAGTTTTTGAATCTACTCATAGACTGGAAAGTTAAATTTATTTACTAAAATCCAATGATCTTACTTTTTTGAAATGGAAATCAGTTTAAGCTTTACCACCTACAGAACGAAGCGAAAAGTGTTTCATTAGCCTAAGTAAACTCACTATGTATAACTTCTATTTTATCTGTATAACTTCCACAACGACTGAGCCACCAAATGCTACTGAAAGTTTCGCCTGGGGCCATTGGCTTATTGATTTCGGCCACGAATTGGGGTCGACAATTAAAAGTTGACTGCCCTCAATGAGGTGGCCAGCCATAGCCCCCAGCCAAAAGTCAGGTGTTTACGCCACTTTATGTTTGTTAATGATATTCTGAGCATTTTCCAGGAACCTTTGGCTCTGAATCGAAGATTGCTTCTTGAACGCCTGTGAATTTTGTAACAAAACTTAGCATTTACCTTAAAATATAGAAATTCTGTGCATACCCATTTTGATTTTACTTGGGCAGTTTTTACGTCATTTGATGACGATTTCGTTACGAAACCATTGTGTTTTCGTCCATTTAATGAGACGAAATGAGGCGGAATATATAAGAACAAATGAAGTTGAATATACCCAAGTTTGTTTAATTGTCTGTTAAATACTTCGCGTATATTTCAAAGTAAAAAATATTATAATTAGTATTGTATTTTCCATCATTATTAGGTTCTAATTCGAAATCACTACGGGGATCTGCTAGTCGTGGGGTGTTCCCACCCAAACGAGTTTTGTAAATGCTGAATCTAATTCGCAGTGGCGGGTGGGAGAGCCCCTAGATATCAATAAGCTTAGAGCTTCATCACATCCCAAGGATCGTCCATATAGTGCAGGATGGCTTTGTCATGCAGTCTTTCGCCGAAAACTTCCCTAAGCAGGCGTAGAACGCATTCCTCGATGAATGCCACCTGATCCTGGGGGCAGTAGTCGTCCTGAGCGGAATGGGCCATTGTAATGGCCACTGGAGGAACTGGTAGGCGCTCTAAAAATCTCTTAAAGTTAGCAAAGTACGTTTCCAACTCCGCGGCGGTGCTGATGTGGTGCGGCAAGCCATTATTATCGGTGGTGCTGCCCGAATCGAAGATCAAATGCCAGTCGATTTCATCGTCTGGATATTTCTCCTGCAGCTGATCAGCCAATTTCACAATTTTAGCGTACACTTCGGGCGTGACAACGGTCTCGTCTGGTTTCTCCAGTCCCTCGAAATTGCGCTCCTCCTCCAGATGCCAGAAAATCGTCTTCAGTGCATCCAACTGAGTCTGTCGCCTCTCCGCCGTGGCCAAATAATCTGCGATGGTAGCAGTGCCCGACTTTTTCACCTTTTCCACGCTTTCGAAGTGGAAGATCTCCTTCAGCTGATTGTAGCAATCGGCATCCTTGTAAATTTCCAAGAACGGGTTGGAGGTGCTGAAGAAATCGAGGTCTATATCCAGCACGAATCCCTTGGCGTCCTTCTCCGTTAGGAATTCGTTCGGATTGAGGCTTTCGTTGTCTGCATCGTGAACCTGCAGCTCCACGCTCTTAGCTTCCTGCAGATCCTCCGTAGTGCAGTAGTTGCCGTCGGCAATGAAATAGTCCAACGGACAGTCCACTCCAATTCGGTCGTCCTTTTGTCCAACCTTGAAGTCATGCCTGCCAGTGGGCAGCTGCTGGCACCACGAATTCTTCAACCACACGACTCGGTTGAAATGTCCTGAAAATAAGTAGTATATTTGTTATAAGAAATGACCCATCATCAAATGTTAAAGTGGAAATTCTTATGGAATTTAAGCGTAGAATGGATGCTTTATATTTAGGAGTTATTAAGAGGGATTCTCTGCTTATTAAATTGGTAATAAAATACAATTACCTCAATCATCTGATACATTGATGGAATACACTGTTTTCTACTTCTAGAGATCAATTAAAGCATTCACCACTAAGGTACTGTATGATATAGTTATCGACGATTCCTTATGGGTTTTCTCACCTGCATAAAGTGTGGGCATGATCCAGTTCTCGATGCTGAGCTCGTTGAGCATGGTGTCTTTTTGGTAGGTGGAACTCGCGGCTATGTGCCGGGGAATGACCAGATCCGGATGCGAATCGAAATGGACGAGGGTGTTGTTCTCCAGCGGAAGGTGGCGGGTGGCAAAGCAGCGGTAGATGAACTCCAGCACATCGTTGTGGTAGTCGACGATGAAAACGGGGATGCGCTGGAAGTGCCTCGGACTGATGGTGGCGCCAATCTGGACGATGCCCTCGCCATCATCCTCCTCTTCCTCCCCTTCCTCATCCAACTCTTCGCTGTCCTCGCTCTCCTCGTCTTCCTCTCGATTCTCCTCCTTTTCGTCTGCAGTCTTTTGTCTCTTTGTTGGCGGCGCCTCTTCCTCTCCATCCCCTGCATCCCTCTCGCCAACATCCGCAGTCGGCTCCCATTTCTTCGAACTTTCGGGACTTTCACTTGGCGATAGTTTCTTTAGAGCGGCCGCAGCACTCTCCTGATCCAGCGTATCCGATTCCATTTTCCTAGCGATTTCTTTGACTGTACGCCTTGGTCCTTAGCACACTCTTCGATTACTTTCACGGCAGGCAGACTTAATTTCTTTTGTATTTAATTTTTTGGGGGTCTTTGACCATCAACAGCTGTTTGAAAGTGTGGCCAGCTTGTGCTCCTCTAGGAATAGCCCGCATTGCCCATATGGTTACCCTAAAATATGGTCCCATTACATAGAAACCAACTATCGATATACCGATTTAATAAGAGAGTTTGAATTTAAATTCGTTACTTTTTGTTTATTGTTTATTATCGTTATCGTTTTTTAAATTTATGCGCCAATTACTTCGGAAGTAAAAGAAACATAATCTTGTACATGATGGCAAAAATAACCGCATATATAATTTCGATTATGAAGCATTATCCCAGATCCCAGAAGTACTTTCAAAAGTGGTTCAGCTTAAGAACATTTAAAATATCTAAAAAACTAAATTTAATTAGTCAGAAACAATGTTTAATCCTTATAAAATATGATTCCTATGACATGATTTTATATTTGGGAGCGTTTTACGATATTTTAAGCTATTACATTTTTATATTATTACTTTGACGGCATCCGCTGGTGGCAAGCGCCTTGAGGTTTAGCGCGTTCTTCGAAAATAGGATGTACAAAGAGAGAGTATCTCACGGTCGAGACACTTGACGATATGCCTCTTTCTGTGACTGCTGCAGCCAACGTAAGATTTGAATTTCAATTTGCAAGTTCTTGAAACCATTTTTCGAACAGCAGTTCATTAATTAAACAGCACTTTATAAGCTCAGCCAGCACACCAGCTCTTCGCCATCCACAATTCACATATCTCACACTCCCCCCAGCCCCTCCAGGCCCTGCCTTCTGCCTCCTGCCGCCTGCCCACCGACCACCCACATTTCAAGGTTACTTCAGATGTGGAGACTTGCCTCCAATCAATATTCCGTGTGTATCCGAAGCTTGGACGCTGGCATAATGCGATTGTCATTGGGGCGGGGGAGCTGAGGTGGCTCTGGAGCTTTCAGCCCGCAGAAAGCTGGCCCAGCGACCGCCCACGCTTCGCAGAAGCTTTTCATTCATAAGATTTGAATATATCTGTGCCTATGTTGTATATACACACATATATCTGTATAGTCATTTGCAGCGGGGAATCGGACGCCCACATGGCTGATTGGAATGCGTAAAACGCTGCCGCAGTGTGTATCTGTGTATCCGTGAGTTCGACTTTGTGTCTGTATCTGTATCTGAGCACTCGTATCTGCGGCCGTCTTTTTCGCCCTTTGCAGCTGGTGGAAATGAATGGCGGCTCGGCGGTCTGGAAAAGCGCCGACTGCGCTGCTCGGGCGTTGGCGTGCAGTGTTTCCGCCGTCGAGCGTTATCAAAAATATAACTGTGTATGGGCTTTCGTGGGTGTCCCTATACATAAGGGACACTCTTCTTTTATTACCATTTATTTTATATTTTTGGCGAAGTTTTCGCGTGGGCCGAAACACCCTCGGTGGCGTCCATTATGGCGAGTTCCACGTTGCCGCGTAGAATCTTTACTACCAAGTTATCTTAGTCAATCGGCTTGGGCTTTAAATCTGTTGTAGTTAGTGCTTATCACTTTGAACTTATTAAATTTTAATAAAGTCAAACATTGTTTTGTTAGTAACACAATATCATATTGCACTATCGAAAGTCTTAAAACAGTAACTCAGTGGGGTGAAAGATCATTATTTCCCAATTACTTAGGTCAACAACATGATTAACGGTTGGCTGTCACACTCAGAAAAATAGTTTTTCGTCGGGGTTTTCCCAACCCCTAAAACACAGCGGAAGTGCCAACTTTGAGAGCATCGGCCCCTTAACTCGATCAATTGGCTGCAATTTGGCTCCTAATTTTTGTTCTTGTATCAATTACAGCAGCTCCGCGCTTTCTCTTGCTGTCCCACCCGATTCTCGCAATTAATTTGCCTTCAGCTTGACCCTGTAGGTCAAACACTGGCTCGCATTAACCTTCGTTGGCCCCTCCGCCGACTCAATTGGGCAAGGATGGCATGGATGGGCGATGACAACGCCAATGACGATGGCAAAAAAGGGGATGTGGCAGGAATTTCTGCTCTTGATTGCCCCAGTTTAGAATACATCCCGTAAAGCCAACACCAAAACCTTCAATTTTACTTTAGAAAGATTCATAAAATATTCTCATTCTTTTGCTGTTTTCAATACAAGCAACCCTATCTATCACAGTAATTAATATTTAAAATATTTTGGGGTATTTACTTATATCAAGGATACGTACTCGTACGTCATAGCCATCAGTTCTACCAGTTAGACACTTTTACTAGTCTAGAATTCCCTTAAAAATGAAGAGGCCACGAAATGAGGTTCTAGTACGCGGATCTTATACACGTGATTACTTCAAACACGTGATGCGCACAATTCTCGTACATTTTGAGTTATTTGAAATCACAACTTTTGCAATCGCACTGCAAAAGAAAATGTAGAAAATTCATTGAGCAGCCGCCGAATGACGTCAACGGGATTTTGAGTCTGGCGTAGGTGCCCCTTTTTCTTTAGCCCTGTGAATTTTGCTTTTACTTAACTTTCCCTTTGGAGGGAACACGTGGCACAGGCTGCTGTTTAAGCCAATGTGAGCTGAGTGAAATGGCCAAAGTGAGATGAGTCAGAGGGCCCAACAACCCAACAACCCGACAACCCGACAAAACCAATCCCAAAGTGAGTACAACCAACGTCATTCGCATTTTAATTCGCTGAATAGTACGTCGTTTGGTCAGGTCGCCGTTTGTTTCGTATCAATCGCAAGTTTTGCTCGCGTGGGCGCTCAGAGCCAAAAGATTGTTTTATATCTGCAGCCCCAACTCGTCATCCTTTCTTCTTTTTAGCGTCCGGAGCAGATCTGATTTTTTAGACATTTTTTATCATAGGATACAGATACTTTTAGGGGGTCTACACAGTTGCGAATCGTTTAACTTCAGATGAGGAGAGAAATGTGAGAGCTGACCGTTTAAAATTGTAAAACGAAAGACTTTAAGTGCAATTTAACATTAATAATCTTATTATTAATATTTATTATTCATATTACATATATTCAACAAACCGTTTACATAAAATTGTCAAATTATAAATTAATTGTTTATCCCCTCTTTGGCTACTAATTTGGAACAGCTCTTGTCTGGAACGACGTCATCGGAGATATCTTGAGAATCTGTGAGATATTTCAGCGTCTGCTCTGGTCAAACGTCAAACGCACGTCGATTGTGGATCGTTGATCGTCGATTGTTGATTGTTGATTCTCGAGTCCCGTGGCGCCCACCGACATCCGCTGCTCATATGGGCGAGTGATTCACAGAGATCTCGTGGAACGGAACGCTGGGGGCTGGACTTGGATGTAGGCTGTGCAAGTACACACATTTCTGATCTGGCGAAGCGGAAATATGAATGGCAGATAAGCGGACGCGCCAACTCTTAATCCAATTTCAGTTGTTTTAGGTCAGTAAAGCGGAATGCAAAACTAGTGTGGGAGAATTCAGTTGAGCAGTTGCGTTAAAGCAACTAATTATATTGCAACAAAATAATTATATTGCAGTGATATCGCTTCAGCTAGTTGCTGAAGTCAAAAATACTTGCTGTATTTATAAAAGATTCCATTTCTTGATATAATTCACCATTATATCTTACCCATTATATTATATTATATAGGAATTTACGTCATGACTAAGTTTCAGCTTAGTGGTAATTCATGACTTGCTGGGGAATATCCGAAAAAAAACCTTTGCTGATTAACATTACCACTTTCTTCGATAACTCACATGCAATAAGTGGAAAAACTCTTGTAATAATACAAAATATCGGTAGTATCGCACATTGCGAGTCACGATGATCCACATTGTTCCCATTTCCTAGAACTTTCCACGCTGTCAGAACTCATTTAAACTAGAAATGGCCATGACTGATCTTATACATGAGATATATAGATGTATATATATGTATATCTCTGACAACTCGGGAAAGCTTCTTCATATTGATTAAACGTTTGGTCTGATAATCGAAGTATATACCGTCACTTGCGCAATCGTGAGGTGCAGAAATTTAATTGAATTCTTCACTTTTGACAACAGTTTCCTGCTATAACACAGATAATGCGCCACGTGATTCATTGAGCTATCTAAGTGGGTTGGGTATTCCCTTTTGGCTGGGAGCAGACTTTGAACTTGTGTCATCGAAGAACGGAGCCCCGAGGACTACTGACCTTGGCTTCTACACTGTCAGAAATATATGTATCGCCAAGGCCGGCCCCAGACACTCTGAACGCGCAATGGGGCAGCCTTTTGAAATAAGCTATCCAGGTGCTTACTTCTAATTCCTTTATACTTGAGTGAGACACTGATACAAATTAGGTAGGACTTGCAATATACACAGATATTAATGGAACTCGAAGTGCTTAATTTTAGATGAGATGAAATAAGTGCAAAAATGATTTCTTATTAGAAGAAATATATGTGTTCTTGATAGAAGTAGTAAAATTGTAAAAAAAAAAAATAACATTTTGAAGTATAAATATAAACTTTTATAGGCTATAAAGCAGTTGCAACACTTTATCAGCTGATACTATTTACATTTTGGTTATATCTTGCCATTTAATGCAAATTCCTTAGTATGTATATAATCTCATAATAATTTTACGTACCCATGTATTGAACTTGTTTTTTTTTAATAGGACAGTAAAATAAAATGTAGTTCATTCAAGTGGCAGCCGAGTTTTCCCAGTGTACTCCCTTTCCTTGCCACCCCACCCCTCCGGCCCACGAGCTGTTGGCCTCCCACGCGCCAGGGCCGAAAGCAGAGTAAAGTCCTGGGGAATTACGCCCTTGGAATCTCAGGAGCCGCGTGCCAAGCCGCAAGTGAGCAGCGAGAAATGCGTGGGCTGAGCATAGATTTCGTATGGCTGTTTCTTTCCCTCGCCGACTGTCTCCGTCTCTGTCTGCCTGGCTTTTTTTTGTTGCTCCAACGGTTTTCGCTGCTGCGTGGGACTTTCATTCATGAAAATATAGCTCGAAAGTCGTCGGTTGGTATGTATGTACATATGTATGTGTGTAGTATATAATAGCACGTTGTGCTGGGCCTTACCTAACGGTGTACGGGGTGTATGGGTGTGTGTTTTATATAAAGCTAGTGCAACGCAGGCGCAGCAGGAAGTTTGTTGTTTGTGGAGAAATTTTTGCACGCGCCGCATATCCTTGAAATTGTCCTTCCATGCGATTTCTGTATGGGTACACACGTATATCCTTGTGTGAGGGTCTTCTTTTTGGGTGTAAATATCAGGGTCATGGTTATAAAATTAAACATTTCGCCGAGTCTCCAATATAACTGACACTTGGCGAAGCATTTGCGCAGAAGCTTTCGTTGGAGAGAAGACAGCGACTCCACTCCATTGATGATTCCGATTGTTCGGGGCTCCGTAATTTCTTATCGGTCTAAATTAGTGGTCCATTAACTTTTGCACTCCATGAAGTGAAATATTAACCGCGCTCTCGCAAAAAGAGAGTAACAATTAAGTAGGTTCCATCGTGGAGGGGAAGGTGGGTGGTTGCGGGGGTAGTGGGAGAGAGCGAGAGAGCTAGCTTGGATGGCGAATTCAATGAATCAACACGAACACACGCATTCTACTTGCTACACGCACACCACAGCACAAAAATATCAATGAACTTTACACAAAACTTTGTGAGCGCATGCAGCGTGGAGAAATAGTCAAAGTGCGAAAAGAGTGCGGGCGAGAAAGGCAGGTGGGAAATTTGAAACACGAACCCAGTTAAGAATTAATGATCTAACATAACCGAAAATATGATTATTATTTTCCATATTTAAAACTGGTTGGTTATCCTTAAGAGAATTACAATTTAATTAACAATTTATTTATTAACTTTCCCTATAAAGATAAAGTTCCTACTTGCTACCTCTCTTTTTTTATAACGAAGCAAATTTCCAAGTGGGTCTGTGCTTGTGCACTGGCTCTTGTTCACCTTTTTGGAGAGTTGCTCTTCTCTCCGATTCGTGTACCTGTGTGCGCGAGTGAGTTCTTCCTTTCATTGCGTGTAACTGACTGCTTTTTCGAAATATTTCCTATCTGTATTTTTTAAATACATAAATAAGTAAAGAGAAGTAATTTTTAAAAACACATTTCTTCATACTGCGGCTGACAAAAACAGTATTGTTATTGGGTTTCGCTCTTTGAATTCCGACGGAGAATTGGAGAGTCGGAGCGGAGAGCAAGTGCAACTGTGTTTGTGTTTTTGGAGAGCAACGAGGCTATTTAAGCAACCCGCGATGCGCGTATTTTGTTATTGCCCGATTATCTTTCACCCGCGCTGGTTGTGTGCGCTCGCTTTCCATAGGAAAAAAACATCAATTCAAAATATGGATATTTAATAGGCAGAAGCAATTAACAATTTGTTTGAGAAATATTTAACGGTATTTGGATGTTTTAGTTACTCGATGACCGGTTCACCGCACGTTTTTTCATTCGATTCGGAACTGTTGTTGATGTTTTAGCGAAGCACACCTAAAAAATACAAAACCACTCACACACACGCGAAACATATACACGGTTGTGATTTGGCGCGCTCTTGTGTGCGTGTGTACGTACAATAAAAAGCAAAAAGCAACGAATTTCGGTGTGCAAAAAACATAAATCGGCAAGCAAGGAAATCGGGAAGCCAAAAAAACAAAACAGTGCAAGTTACAGTTATCCCCAAACGATAAAAAACCAAAATTCCTTTTTGATTTCCAAGATTTTCATCTGCGCGGGTGTGTGTGTGTGTGTAACAGCAACAAATACCAATACCAGCGCACGGCCAATAAAGAAGAAGAGGAGCAGCGCGAACCAGAAGAAGAAAGATGATGTAAACTTTGTTGTAACCGAAGAAAAAAAAAGAATAACATAAAAAACGAGTGAAGAAGAGAACAGAGGAAAACGAGAAAAGTAGTAGTAGTGCTTCGAATTCTTTAAGTCTTCGAGAGATTTTTTTGGAGCTCTTCAAAATGCCAGAAACGGAGCACGAGACTTGCAGCAAGGAGTGGCTGCAGTCGCAGTTGCGATCGCTGGACTCCAAGGAGATAATCCTGCTGGACTGTCGCGGCTCCCACGAGTACAGTGAGTCCCACATCCGCGGAGCCGTCAACCTCTGCATCCCCAGCATCGTCCTCCGGCGCCTGGCGCTGGGCAAAATCGACCTGGCCTCCACGATCAAGTCGCCCGAGCTGAAGCAGCGCATCCAGTCGGGCTACAAGCTCTGCTGGTTCATCCTCTACAACGGCGAGGGCGTGCCCGGCCCGAATCAGGAAATCGCCGGAGCCGGATCCCTATCCATCGCCATGGACTCCATCATCAGCATCCTGCACCGCCGCCTCAAGCAGGACGGCTGCCGCGTGGTCGCCCTACAAGGTGAGTCAATAATTGAATATTTTTTTTTCTTTAATAATATCACAACACAAACGAAGGAAGTTACTGAAGTAAGCTAAGTGTAATGCCTTGAAAAAGCTACATTTCCTATACACCTAATTTGTATCCCCTTGAACACTATGATGCCTGAAGTAATCATTTAAATAGCAATTATAAAGATTTACATTGTGATATTCTCGGAATGGAATGAATCCATGGGATCTAAAAACAAAAACCTAATGGCTGGCATTTTTTCGTTAGTTTATCACGCACCTGTATCGAAAAAGGATGTCCCCATTTGTTGATCATGGCTGTGCTATCGAATTCTTTAAATGCCTGATACTTCCCAACACCGCCCATAAATCAATGCCGCACATTCCTAGGCCTAAGAATATCATAACTTATTTATACTTCCCCAATGTTGTTTGCGGCATTTTTAGCCCGAAACCCCCAAGGAAGAAAGCAAAACAACGCAAAACAAAACAAAGCAAAGGCGAAAGAATATTAATAATACAAGCAAGCAGCACTGCCTGGCCATAAATAAACATTTGCATGGATTTGTTATTGTTTTTTCGTTTTTGCGAAACAAGGGAGGCATTCTGGGGGCGGCGACAAAATGACAAATGCAAAAAACTAGCAAAATATAATGTAATCCGTAGAGCTGATAAAGCTAGCGCCAGATTAGACTTATATTTAGTCTGACTGATCCTGTTTCGGATTCTGATTATAGACATACATATACTGAATAGACTTCACCTTTCTGAACTTGTTTTTGGTTGACACGATTTTGTTTGACTTTGATTGATATATTATAATCGCCTGAAATTGTTAAATGGCTTGTTAGTTTGGGAAAAACTTGTATATTAATTAAACTATCATATATGCCATTAAGTGCAACCGAATTAATTTCCTTATCAAAGCTGCAAACGAGCTATATTAAAACATGCACAAAATATCAATCCAACCATATCGGCGGATATATATATGTACATATATATGTGTATGCCCTTCCAATTATGCACTTTATTCTTAAACACAATGCCCCTCCTTGATTGCCCCATATCAATTAAGAGGCGATTTAAATATAAATGTGTTTTCAAAATCGTTTGGTATTTTACAAACACGTTCGGAGATTAAGGAAGTCATAAATAAACATCAATTCTGTCGATGCTTTTGAGCTCTTCCCACTATTGTTGGCTATACATTTTCTTTGTGTTCCCATAGATTTGTGTCATTCAGAAAAATGTCACAATTGCTTTTCAGAGACTCGAGGCTCGACTCCCATGACTCAAAGCCACATAACTTGCCATATACACTGCTATACATATGCTTATTTAAGTGTGTATATGCTGGTGGCCTATATGTCTGTGCACATAGTCCAAATATATATACATAATTATCTGTCGACTGACTATGGCTTCGTTTTTATTTTTATCACTTCAATTTCCGCTCGCTTACAAGCCCCTCAGAACTGTGATTCTATGGATTGTACATACATACACATTTATTTGCCAAACGAGCTTTACGCACGTTCTCCTCTTCCATTCAAATGTTTTTGTGTCTGCCTGCTAATATCGCAAATTGACAATAGAGCGTCAACAAATGGACCGGCTTTTCAACCTCCTCCTCCTCCTCCCTTTGAAAAACTTTTCTTTTTGTACCGATTTGATTTCGAAAGATACATAGAACTTGAAAGGCCGAGAAATTAGCATAACTAAGGTGCCTTCCCAACTGTGACGTCAAGCCGTGGAAAGAGATGGCACCATAGAAAGAGATCGCTGCTGCAGAGCGTCCTGTGAAAACTACCTGTGTACAGGTAATTAGGAGAATCGGTCCGGAAAAATTTTACGACCGGCAATACCAGGGAAACACCCAAGAAAGTAAGAACCTCTTGACATTCGCCAGATGAACAAGACGAAGTTGGAATGAAATAGACATTGGAATGGGAGGCGAAGGTGGAAAGATAGCAGCGTGAAAATCCAGTGTCACCTTTTCAGGGACTTCATTGTTTTTCCGGCCTGCTTAAGTGCCCGCTTTGTTCTACCGTTTTTCTTAATGATCCCAAAATGGTAAATGAATTCTGCGACCTCAGGCAAACATTTTGAATGGAAACAAGCGAGTTTAATTGCGTTTCCCGAAACATGCTCAATAAACCCAATTTCTCAATGCGAACAGTATTTTTATAATTGTTTAAATTTAATTGTTTCGATTTCGTGAAATGAACTGGAAACAATAAGCATATCATCGCCCATATTTAGTTCCGCGATTTTGCCGCAATCCGTTAATGATTTTGACATTTCGGTGGAAATCGTTGGGCCGACTTATCTTATCACATGGTTGGGTTTGCCATGCAAATGCACAAAAAGCAGCTGTGTAGAGAGGAAATTGTGGCTTTTATGTCTGTTCCGTATCGGAATGGGGAATATCTAAAGCTATTGGGTGCTATTTGAACTGGGGCAGGAAGTTTGGGCTAGGAAGCAAGCGGAACTGGGACAGGTTTGCAAAAAAAAAGGAGGGAAGTCCAAAGCGGAAGAAAGAAAGAGGATGTAAACAGTGATAGATTTATTTAGTATTCGCAACAACGTACATTCTTACTACGACATTCTATAAAAATCAAATCAATTGAAGAGTTAAGTAATTAAGCCTAACCCTAAAATCTCATAGCTAATTTTTTTTTAATTTGGCTTGGGACTTCCCTCTTTAAGGACCCTTGATTTGAACACCATGTTGTATTATCGCCTAATGACCACTCTGTGTAATCCCTTTTATTGTTGTAGCCAACAGAAAATCTCCGGCTAACAACCGCCAACCAACCGGCGGTAATCAGCTTAAGAAGGCCGAGCAAAGTTCTTACCAATCCTGGGTACAATAAAAGTTTTTCCCCGGCTTGCCACTAATTAACCTTGAAATTCAATCAAGTCCGGGCAATTATGCGGTCTTGTCAGCCGTTGACGCCGTCTCTTTCGACAGGCCAGAAGCCGTCTCTTTTTTTCAAGTTCCAACTTCAGGACTTTATGAAGTCCCTGGGCAGCATGAAAAATGCATAATGCATCGCGGGCAGTGCTGGATTCAGCTTCAACTGGCGATGTAAAATTCATTTTAATTAAATGCCACTTTGTATGCATTTCTCGGAATTAAAACAATTAAGATGGGGCCAACTGGGGCACCAACTATATAGGATAGAATGCGACATGTGTGCACAGATAAGGTCACGCGAATAGTGGCACTTGGTATAGTATAATTCCACAACTTCAAATTTCAGAAATATCTTTAACCTTTGATGTACATCCTATGCCCTGTTCATGCTGCGCGTAAAAAGATATATATCTAGTTGCATTTCTAACCAGTATTATGTTGAAAGCATATATGTACATATGTATGTATGTATATGTATGTCGACCCATGGCTTTAAACTGCAGTCCGTGTATCGTAAACTAAGCATTTCCGTTGACGGAATTTAATTCAATTAGATCTAGCAGAGTTCCGAACCGCGCCAGCGCAGTTGTTGTAGTAGTGGTGATGGTGATGGCGATGGTGGGCTCTCTTCGAGGGAGTCAATGAACGAGAAGAGATGCATCTCTCTCTGGAGACTGGGAAAGCGGCAGATCCGATCCGCGCGACGAGGCATTTCGCGGCGAACTCGTCTGCTTTATTTTTGCCTTCTGCCATCTGCCTTCTGCCTTGTTTCGTATGTTTTTATGGCCAGACGGATACAGAGATGCGCTCTGTTGGCAGCCGACCCTTTTATAGAGATTGAACCCGAGCTGCTGCGCATGCGCCATAAAAAACCACTTTGCGTCGGGCCGCCCGGCTGCATTTCCACTGGCTTTTCCCAACTGGCTTTTCTCCGACTCTCCGATTGGGAGTGTTGTTTGCCTCATTTGCTGTTTTTAACGAATTCGTTGTTGCCGCTTTTTGTGTTTGGTTTATTGCTTTTTGGCCAGCGACGGGTCGGCTTTTGATATTGTTTTGGGGCCCTGGTTAAATTTCTTGAGATGTTTTCCACTGCATTTTCTCCATTCCAGTTCGAATATTCACCAAATTCAGGGAAACTTCGCTGAAATACTCAAAAAAATAATGAAAGCTCTATATCGGTGTTTTCGAGTAACAGCGTTGAATCCTCAGTGGGTCAGTATTATTTATTTTTATATTTCCATTTGTATTTAAAATGTATTTAAAAAAAAGTTAAACCTATCGAGGTCTAACTGTGAAAGCAAAGTAACACGTGGCAAAATCCCAAGGCCAACCGAATGGACCGTCTCTCATTACGATTTCATGATAACTCATCGCAAAGGCGGTGGCTCCCACAATCTCCCTCCCCCTCCGAGTTTTCTTGTCCCCCCCCGGCAACTCCTCCCTCGCTGTTCCTCCATTGAGGCAACTCTGCCAACTGGTCTGCCTTCACCGAAAAAAAATCAGCCACAACAAGCAGGTACAAAAAAGACAGTAAAATAACTGAGAGGCTGAGACAGTTGGCCCGGTTGCCCACCTACCTGCCAAAAAGCCGTTGGGCCAAATTTGTCGGCGGATACAGTGGGCTAGAATGGGTCATGGAGACATATGGTAAACGAATATGTTTCACAACAAAAGTGTAAAAAAGCACTGTAAGTATAATGAGCTAGTTAACCAATTTTTGAATTCTATATCCATGTTCTAAAATACTTTTGAGTACTTTTGCTGAACTGAAATCAGCCCACTTGGAAATTATTTCTGTTAACAACGGACTTCAACAATTCTTCTAATAAATATATAATTCCTTTACCTATAGAATGGTAATATTTCAGAAAACCTATTCATTTTTTAGCTAATGTTTTTAGGGATCCTTATAGTTTAAGCCAATCTGGACCTGTGAAAAACGAGTGAGCTTCAATAATCACCTTTGCCCCACTGTGCCCATCGAACGTACTTTGTTGACTTGTTGTTTTTTGCGGTTTCTGTTGTTTTTGTCGCATGCCCACATGCAAAGTGAGCCGAAAGACAGTCGGACATCTTTCCAATTGGAG